AGAAAGATCCATTTTGTTCTTCATCGCGACAGTGACTGCAGTAACGTGCTCTGCAGCGTTGCCAACGATGGGAAGAATGATAAGACCGATGAACGCTTGGCTGATACCAGAACTCTCAACCATGGGCTCAATAGCTTCACTCATGAAGTCGGCGCAGACAGCAACGAGACCAGTGCTGATCAGAAGCATGAAGATAGCAGCTTTGATGGACATGTCAGGTGCTTCATCGTCTTCGTCATCCTCGTTGAGGGCCATGGCGGCCTGTGGAGAGACAGCAGGATGTTTGACTGCGTTGCCGGTGGCGTCGGCGCGTCCAATTTGATCCGGGAGGGACTTGGATCGACGAAGGGGTGCACGCAGAGCTGTGTTGTCGCGGGGTGCTGCCATACGAATGTTGGGCGCGGGACCGCCAAGTGGGGCGAGGTTCTGAGGGTTCGAGAAGACATTGTTGGAGAGTAGCGAAGGAAGAGCAGGTCGGTTGTATCTGCGAGGGTTCGAATTCATAGTAGTGGCACTGTCGTTCTGTACTTCCTCCGCGAAGGTAACCTTGGGCGTGGGCTCATTCGGCACGACCTCCTTTTCAGGAATGGTGTCGACCTTGTTGCGATCACGGCGGTCCTTCTTACCCTTCTTGTGCCTGCGTTTCTCCTTCTTCGTCACCGAGCGCGAAGTTTGCGAAGCGGCTTCGAAGTCACGGACGACTGGGACGTATTGATCGTTATCGGCCTCGTCACCGCTCATGACGTCGAATGAGTGTCGGCGAGAAGTAATAGGAGCTGCGTTGTTGGCAGTGGCGACGCTATTGGTTCTCTCCGAATCGAAAGGACTCTGGTGTAGCTCACCCTCTGGCGAATTGAGGGCCGAGAGCGCATCTGCGTCTTTGGAGCTAGCGCTGGACTTGCGGCGAAGCCTCTTCACCATACGCTTGGCCTTCTTCTTCATGGTGCCATCAGAGTTCTTGGAGGAGCTGTCGCTGTCGCTACTGCTGGAGCTGGATGAAGAGTCGGAGCTGGACGAGTCGAACGCACCGGCAAGGACACCGGGATGTGACTCTTCGTCAATGATATGTTGGGGAGTGCTAGCGTAGAGATAACGATGGCTTTTGAGCTGGAAGACGAGGTACAGGCCGTACACTAGTAGGAGGATTACACTGGTTCCACGACTGACGGACAATGTCTCGTGGTCGGCGATGGCGTTGTTCTCGAAAGCAGCGTGGAAGGCAGTGGGTAGCAGAAGACTCATTACGGCGAGGGCCAGCATAACACCGCTCATCTGAGTGACGGTATTGTTGTAGACCTGCTCCTGGTACTTCAAACCACCAAGTAAGAATGCCATGCCCAAAATGAGAAGCAGGTTGGCAAGAATGGATCCAAGTAGAGACGCTTGCACGACTTCGATCTGGTCAGAGGCGAGCAAGATGATGAAGAGAATCAACTCGACAGCGTTTCCAAAGGATACGTTAAGCAGTGCACCGAGCGCATCTCCAACACGGGCAGCGACAACTTCGGTCGCGTGCGCGAGCAGGCCAGCCAGCGGAATGATGGCGATGGCGTTCATGGAGAAGACGATTTCGGGCTTCAGGTGCACAAGCTTGACTACAATGCCAAGAGGCACGAAGACGAGCAGGAGGTTGATCCAGCTGTGTGTGATGGCATTCTTGGTGTGGGATATGAATCGGAGGCTTCCGTTCTTGACACGCACGAGCGAGTAGAACGGACGCTTCTCGGATCCTATGGCGGGAGGCGACGTTCCATCGGGCGCGGTATTGACGCTGCCATTGTCGATATCTGTGGAGCTATTATCGCTGGCAACGGGCTTCTCGTTGTGCTCGCTGGTGCCATGTGCACTACGCGACGGGTTGCTGCCATCTAGGCCAGGATGGGCGGTCGAGTGGGGGTTGTGGGTCGGAAGGACGTCGGTCTGCGTGTCTTTCTTGCGTCCCAAGCCAAGTGCAGATGCTGCCTTAGACTTGAAGCTGCGTATAGAGGGGTCGTCGGGTTCTCCCATCGGTTTTGGTGTTGTAGAGTTTGGGGGTGGTTGAGTACAAAGATGTACTTGGGGCGGTGGTAGAAGTGTGGCCAAGTAAGTGAGGCGCGGCCACCGCCTTCCTTATCAATGCTCGGCAAGCTTGACCCGGCTTGGTACGTGCTTAGTATGCAGGTGGATACCGGAAGTCTAGCGAATGACGTCGATCAGCCAGATTGGCTGCTACACGTGGACGGCGCGCACAGCCTCAGTGGCGCGCGATGGCTTGCTCAGGTTCTTGTTTGCGCGCGGCGAGTCTAGACAGTGGCTGAAAGATGCAATCATCAAACGCGTCCTTCATACAGTCTGTATGTCGCGACATGTAAATGATGAAACTGAGATGGGAAGGTGCGCCTACCACGCGTTATCGTAGCATCCCTGACACGTTTTGGGAATTGGAAAGTGCGAGGCGACGACTAGGAAGCCGCCAACGTCGGCTTTTCCCCGCACGGTCATCATCATCAATACAGACGCCGCTGATCGTTGACATCAATCACACAGCGCCGCGCCTCCTGACATCCACTCTGCCATCAGAACGTGCAGGCTCCCAATCTAGACTGCACACGACGCCTCACGATGCAGGGATCATGCCGAGACGGATAGCCTCGCCAACGCAGACCGTTTGTCACCTCCCTTATCCCCGAACGCTTAGCGTTCTTGTACTACCTGGGCACGCAACAACAAAAGCTTGAGGCATTCCTCGGAGCTATTGCTATCAGTCCTATTATGCCCTGACTGACGCAAATTTGCAATTTAGGCAATCAACTTCTTTATATGAACCTGTTGATTCGGAGATTTCTGTACTGATATTTGGTTGTGGGTCTCGCTACCATGAAGACCCTCTGGTAATTCACTTGGAAGACATACTCGCTCTGGCGGTACTACTCGAGATACCAGTCCACATGGCATCTCTGTGGACATTTTTCGAGTGCAAGATCAAAGGTTGAAAGCTGATCGCAGCAATAACGCGTCAATCCTGCACTTGGAGTCAGATGACTGCGTGACTTGATACCCATGGATTGCAAACGCGCAAATTGCTTGGCAGCGCAGCGATGAGTACAACTCAGTCACAAAGCCTTGCACCATGAGCTTTCCACCTTCGGATACCATCATGAACTTACTTGATCTCCCAGCAGAAATTTTCACTGCTATCATACACAACTACCTGCACGACTACCTATATAATGGCCGCGGATGGGCTATGGCAGTTCGCGTACGATATGTCTGCAAAGCCTTCGCGGTTGCAATACACGACGATATGTTTGGTCGATACTCCGCAAGTTTCTACCGCAGCTTCAGTGACGACCGCAAGCAGCGTCTACTCGCACCAAATATGTACACTGTCCTCTCCAAGATGGGCCCCACCCGCTGCCGCTCGACGTACATTCTTGATCACATGGAAGCCACGGTCAATTTCCTCATGGAATTCTCATATCATCAATCGCAAGCGCAGCGCGAACGCTACCGCCTGGCCCTCTGTAACGCCATGTCAGCGGCACTCTCGGTAGACGACATTCTCGCATATCTCTGCCAGGGACCATTCGATGACTCGGTCAAGGTCAGGAAGAATATGGGCCGCGCAGATACGGTGGGAATGCTCGCTGCTGCCGCTGCTGTCAATAGTGAACCTGCCCTTCGTTTCATTGTTGGCAAGGTATACGACGTAGGTCTACGTAGCGAGCTGTATGGCACGCCGCTTACCGCCGCTGCGGTCAATGGGCATCTTTACTCCGCTTCTTTCATTTATGAGCGTATGGAAAAACGCTTCTACAAGCGCAAACAACTGCACAACGCGATCAACGCATGCATGTTCGAGCAACGTACTGCTATACTTCCTACACTCATGTCCTGGTACCTGAAGTATTGCTACTCTGGAAAATTGATCAGGGAAGCAAAGCGGGGCTGGATCGACTGGGCAGTTCGGAATGGTGAAATGGGCGTACTACGATTCAGTTACTATCCTGAGGATGCAATCAATTACATACGCCGATTGGAGCCAACGCCCTTCCACTCAGCCTGTCGATACGGCCACGCGCACATCATCCAATATCTGCTCCAAGTCGATCCTACCCTGAAATACGCGATTCGTAATCATGAAAAGGGTTATATCGGCTCTAACCAACTATGGGATGGTCTTACAGTGGCGGTGGAGAATGGCTGGCTTGTGGCTACCAGGCTGCTCATCCGCAGTGGTGTACAGATCACACAAGGAAAGGAAGGCTACGACCCATCTACTCCAGTGCTTTGGTATGCACTCAAGGGAGGACATATCGATATGGTGGTGCTATTGCTGGCTTATGGTGCTGTGGTGCCGAAGAGGAGCTCTGAGCGCAATGGCATTTGGAATCTGGCTGCGAACCACAGTGTGAAGACGGCAAGACTGCTTCAGGACGTCTGGGATGAGCAAGAAAGATGTAAGTGAAGGTCAAGGTTGATGGTATACACTAGTGGGTATGCGCGTTCGTCATCCTATGAGCATGCGACTCGCCGTAGCATCCGCCTTTTGCTATCTAGTCAAAAAGGTGCATGTAGAATACAGCAGAAAGTCTGCTCCAGATAAGCATCATGCTATAAGTGGTCCTGTGAGCTTGCACTGAGATGATTTACCGTGAGTTGGCTGTGATGTACGTGTAGCAGTCACGCCCGCCCATTAGGCCGGCCCGATGCACGCTGTAGATCCACCCGTGGACGCCACGGAAAGGCCCCACATCCCGCGTCGTCACGTCTCTTCCGCGCCGCCGCCACGCGTCACAGCGTACAACGTACCCTCCTGCGTCCAACTTCTCTTCCTGCACAACTGGCTGTAAAAGCAACAGTATCATTTGATACCTGGGGCTTTGTAGCGATCCCGCAATTAGCGACATCGTAGCCGCGCATCCGTAATCATCTGGAGAACCACCAGCCTCCCTAGCATATCGCAATCATCATCTTACTTACTTTCACAACTTACCCTACGCAGCCCAGCCCTCTTCAAAATGGGTCGCTGGACAGACCTGGATAGCGTAACCTCCCTTGTACACCTCCTGCCAAACCAGACCACTCACAACCCCCAGGACGCCGAGCGCCTCCCCCCAGGCTTCGAGCGCATAGGCTACGACGCCGACACCCAAACCTACACCTTCCGCGACGCATCCGGCCGCATCTACGAATCCGAGCCTGGAAACCGATACGGCGAGCTGCGTGCAACGGGCGAGCACTCGCAGCCCCCGTCCGACGAGCAACGACGCGAGCAGGACGAGATGATAGAAGAAGGCAATAGGAGCGCCGTGCGTATGATGTTGCCGTTTGCGCTGCTGGTGCTGGTGTTTCTGTTCCTGGTGTTTAAGCTTGTGAATAGGAGTGATGGGCCTGATACAGTTGTTGCTGGCTGTGGGGATGGGGAGCGCCAGTTGCGGGTCGAGAAGGGGAATACGTGTTGGGCGATTGCGGAGGCGAATGGGTTGAGTGTTGATGGTTTGTTGGGATTACGAGGGAATAAGGGTGTGGACTGTGGGAATCTCGGGATAGGGCAGAGCATCTGTGTACCGACGTTGAAGTGAGGGTGGTCCTATGTCGCTCCTCCAGGCCCGCTTTACCAATCCCTAAGGATATCAGGAGATGGAAAAGAGCATAATAAGAGGAGGATGTGGTCACTGCATTCCATTCTGGTCAAGATGCTGCCGACTTGTCAACCATCAGATGGTAACGAAGGATCATTCTTCACCAACCCGATTGGTATGCAGGAGGCCCTAATCGACTACCCACCGATTCTCCCACAGCCAGATAGAAGACTACTGCGTTACAAGAGGTCCATGTCATAAGCGTTAACTCGCAGAGCTTGGTCATGACCTTGCGCCATGATTTCGCCTAGAGCCCTCGGAAGATCAGCGCGACAACATCCAGAACGACAAGAAGTCTTGAAGTCGCCTATGACGCAGGTACATGGCGACCCGGAGATGATAAAACTCATCCTGCTAAACCAAGCTCTTGGCAGTCCACGCATTTTTTTCAAGTCGAACGTCACGTTGCGAGGGGCTCGGAACTTCTATCTGGCTTCCAGACTGAGACTAAACGCGAACGAGCGCATTACCGTAGCTTCAGGCGCCCTACGTGGAGAACGGCTTTGCGATTACTGATATGAAGAAGTCATCTCTACATTGTGATGTTCATATGCATAGCCCGTATGTTCCACTTCTGTTTTGGCTAGGTAGTCGCCAATCGGTGCTGTCCTTGGATGATCCGATGCACCCAGAGATAAACCGATGCGCCGAGCATTACAGATATCAAACTTGGTGGAGGTGTTTAAGCCGCGGGACCGGTAAATCGGCGTAAGTCTGAACGGTGTTGACAGCTACGCGACACTGAATGTCCTCCCATTCAGGCAGAAATTGCGCTAATGTAACCTCCAGGGTCCAGAATTCAATTGGTAGAATGCTACCTGTCCATCAGGTTTGTGCAAAAATCTGCAGGTCCGCTTCGTGGAGATATAGCCTATACTGGTAAGACCCGGCTCGTCTATTCACACCCTTGCTCTTCAGCCTCTCGTAGCGTCGGTTCTTCCCGCATTAAGCAGGTCTCTCGTGTTTACACATTTAACAGTCGGATATAGCGGATTGGAAAGGATTCTGGGTGGAGGTTACTCCACCGGGGCGTAATTTGGCCCACAGCTACACCTTGGTGTATTGAACTATCTTACGCCCGATACTTGGCTGAGAAACATTCATCGGAGGGCAAGTCTTTTTCCAATCCTACAGTCCCAGTTCTCTCGTACGCCCACGATTAGCGTAATCCTTCACAAGAGTTGCCCGTACGCGGATTGGCTCATACTTCCCGCAATCTACATCTTCCCGTGTAGGATCACGACCAGGCAGGATTCCAGCCTTGCTCTTGCGACGGTCGATATGCGTGCAACCCGAGTGAAAGACAGGTAAAAACAGCACGTTCCAGTCGGAGTCAGTCGCATAAGGTATAAAGCCAGCAGCTTTTCTTCTTTGTTCCATCTCTCTTTATCCTCATCAAGTCAATAACAACAACAACACCACCACACTCGAATTTGCCTCTCTTCTCATCAAACTCTTCACGATGAAGCTCTCTATTCCTCTCATCGCTTTGGCTTCGGCCACCAGCGCCATGGCCGGCTGCTATGGCAGCGGCAAGCCCTACCTCAACGACTGCAACAAGAATTCGTTCCTTGATGCTGCTGACGACCTGTGTAAATCATTGACCCTCGCGGGATATTTCAACTATCGCCAAACGAAGAAAGCATGCGCACCAGCCAGATGCAATGGCATCAAGATGAACTACGAGGTGGGATGGAAGGGTAGCAGCGGAGGACATACCTTGGCTGTAGAAGACTGCAAAAGGCGACTTAAAGAAAACATCAACAACTGTCCATTGGGCGGCACTCAGACCGTCGCTGACTGGTTTTTCAAGTAAGTGGCTGTATACATGTCGCGAACTGTGCGATGAGGACGAGAGCTAACGCCGTGGGATTGTAGGTCTGACCCTAATGACGGTGGCTGCTGATCGAACCAATTCGGTTGGTTCAACAGTGTCGAAGAAGTTGTGATTGGGATCTGTGAAGGCGGGCAAGTGAAGGGCGATATACCAGGGACACAGCAAACCGATACTGGATAGATGATTAATGAACAAGGATACTTGCCGACTTGACTTCTGTGCTCTGCTGGTTTCCTCCCCATACGTTGAGTTTTGAACCGCAGCCTGCCCAGGTTGCGTTCCTGAAGTGACGTTGCAGTTAGAGTGACTAAGGAGTAGTTGACGCAGGGCGGCAGGGAAAGCCCAGATTAGGCGTCCCATTAGCTCAATTCCACAACAGTGCATCGGCCCGCAGCCCCTCCAAGGCTGCACCCAAGGATGCCAACACACCTTTTGGATACGACTTCAGTGTCTTGGACACAGACCAAGGGTCGAATACATGGCGAGAGCGCACACTGCGTAGCCTTTACACGACCCGATGTTCAAGATTATCACGTGTTCGACACCATCCAGGTTAGCCTCGGTCGCGACGGCTCCACTGCGGGCTTTCCCTCTCAAGTCACATCAACCGACAAACCTCACTCCTCAACGCGTCCAACACCATCATCAGCGCATTCAACTAGAAGCGTGCAGAAGCTCAGATGGCTCTTTACTCATTTCGATTCTATTCCGCCATCTACCCAGGTTACCACGTAGTAGGCAAAGGCCTCGTTCCTGGACCCTGCGAATCTAGCCACACCTGGGCATATGTCCATCGTTCCTTCGTCTAGCCGCAGCCAGCTTCTCCACAGCCATTTTACCCGCATCCACCACATGAATGTATGAGTCTCTTCGCTGTATTACCACTGGTAAGCATGGAACGTCAAAGTAATACGAAATAATTGATTCAGGTACGCCATCTCCTGAGAATGAACTGCTCTGAGCGAAGAAAAGTGAAACTTACCGAATTTCGAAAGACGAATCTATCTCGGGTCTTTCGTACCAAGATTGAGATCAGGATCGGCGCCGTGATCTATCAACAACTTGCAGATATCGAAACGGCATTGTTGAGTAGCGTGGCGTAGCGAAGTTGACAGACCCTTAGCATCGGGGCGTAGGCGATCGGAATTTGCGCTGGCCGCCATGACGCGCTCAAGTGCATTCAAGTCCCCTCTACGTACCGCAGTGTTAATCAAACCGTGGAATTGAGCGCGCTCTGTCCATTCGGATGAGTTCATGTTGATGCGGTCAAACAAACCTGCGTCCAACAAGAAGGATACGAGAACACGGAAGAGCTGAGGATGGAAATGATGGCGCCTGCTATATGCGTTGGAACACGGTTCGGCTATCGTGAGGAACCTCTTTCTGAAATCTTTTCGCATAGTTGGCGTGGACAGTGCGATCAGCCTACCTAGGAAGCTCATCAATTCAGATGCGCAGGCTTCTTCGAACCAGTCCATGAGGTAGCGTATCTCCTTGTGCTTGGCATTTGAGATGTACCATTCCAGCAAAACCAGCGCGATGGGCTCATTGCTCCGGATAGCATGCATAATGCCGCTTACGACCGTCATGGTTTGTACTTTCATGATCTGGCTCACAGTTGATCGCCGAGTATGAGATAGTAGGACCTCAACAAGATCGAGGTCATCGTTTTGCACGGCCAACTCCAGCGCACAACGCAGTTCAGATCCTGTCGAGCACTTTGTCCACATGGCACCCTGCTCGGTAGTAAGTGCGCAGACAGTGTCCCTCTCCCGCATGATGACCGCGACACTCAGAGCCTCTTGACGCCCCGACGACGACATTGCCCTGCTCCTGCTTTTGTCACTCGGGTTATAGGCGAGCTTGCAGATATTCGGGGTTTTGATCAGAGCGCCGATTACACCGCGGACCCAGATAGAGCGCTTTTCAGGCGAGGTGTCACCGCTGACGCTAACGAGAACGTCGACAATCTTGTTGATATGCGTGGGGAGAACGTGATTGGCGCCGTACAGTGCGACCACTCGGTGCTCGAGGAAGGGACTGAGTATGTTTCGCAAAAACGCCGACTCGCGCTTACCCAGGTTCCAATAGGCTGAGGCAGGCTGCTTGGCAAGCACCTCTGTTTTGATGTACTCGCAGAAAGTTCCTGTAATCGTCAGCAATGCTGTCCGTCATAAGTGGTGACATAATCGATTACTGCACACACTGCGACGAAGCCAGGCTCGTCGGATACCCTCCCCATTGACGTAGTGCGCCATGACGCATTCGAAGATTTCAGTTGGAAGATCGAGCAGCTCCATGGCGGGATACGTCCGGTTGCGAAATGTTGTAGTTGCAGCACTGGCGAGGGTTATACCGAAACACTTGTTGACTCGCCGATCTTGTGTGTGGCGAGGTACAGACCGCAAGCACGAGATATCTGCAGCTGGTGATCTTTAGAGTCTCGGTAATGGTGAGTGATCAAAAGAGAAAGCGGGGTGTATTTTGTCCTGGTCAATGCATTCACCGACGTCGAGGCGCTAGGTAAGATTAAGGTCTAAGATCCTTGTCATGAGTTATAGGCTACGTAGGGAACCCATTGTACCAATTCTCACATCGCCGTGCGAACATCACTAGTAAACGCTCATACGACTGGACTTCTCGTAACCCATCTGTATCATTACATTCTACTCTTTTCCCAACAAGCCGCGAATGTGAAGATCGACCAAACTCAACAATTGTTGTGGGACGCTGCATATGAGATTAGCGGTTTGTCCAAGATTCATAGGAAAGCCTTCTGTGAGTTGAGATCGCTTACCTTTAGCAAAGAATGCATAAGTGTCCGCATTGTTGAGGTTATCCGTTGAGTTGAGCGTGATAAAGTTGTCATATCCGTATTTGACATCGCCGACGCTGAACAATGCATGGGAGAGCTCATGCGTCATTGTCTTAGTCTTGTCGCCTTCATGACATTCTGGATGATCAATCTGATACCACGCATCGAACCAAAAGGGGCAGAACCTGACGTGAAGTTCCTCGCCCGCCCACACAGTCATTCCCAACACACCCGGTTCACAGCCATCGAGGTTGTTACAAAAGATCTTGACACGACCCTCGTTCATGTTCCGACATTCAGATCCCATCGCGAGAAAGCCGTCGTTGAGCTTCTTGCGAATCTGCTCAGTGTCGTCCTTGAAGAACTCCATGATCCTCGTGTGGTTGCCAGCGTCGGAAAGCGAGTTCTGCCAGGCGGAATAGGCGCGATCAGAGCACAGACTGCGACATTGGTCTAGAATGTCGTACTGTTCGTGGGTGCAACCGCCTTGGAGGTTGAATTCCGCATTCCATACGCTCGAAAGCCAAGTCTGACGGGTCGCGGCTGCTTCAGATCCATCGATGTTGACGGTAAGAGTGTTCGAGATGAAGGATATGGTCTCTACGACCGATGATTCAGAGGTCGCATAGAGGAAGGTGCCTTGCGACACCAAATCGATGATACCACCAGAGCCAAGATCGTAAACATGGGCGATATCGAAGTGCTTGTCAACTGTCTCTGAGGGTGACAAAGCCTGGAATGAAGAATCCTCCAGCGCAGTGAGGTCGATGTCAACGTGGATACCGTAGAAAGGGAGCTTGTTGCCTGTACCATGCATTAGTATCTGCTCCACCGTGCATCGGAAGCGACCTACCATCTTTCACGACAGTGACCTTGTCGACGGCCAAGTCGCTTAGAAGACCATCAACTTTGACCAGGCGCAAAGGCTCGGATCCGGTGTTCTTGATCGATATCTTGACATTGGTGTTGCCCGCCATTTCCAGGTTGACTTGGACTTGAGGCGGAGAGGAAGCCGAATTTGGTGTACTTGGATGAGCTAGAGCACCAGTAGCCAATGCGAACGCTGCAAATAAGCTAGAGTACAGGAACTTCATCGCTTCTAGCCGTTCAATCGGTTGAGGTGAGGTATACGGGAGACAAAGTCTGTGATGTGGTAGTATAATCTATACAGTACAAAGATATGACAGGAAGGATACTCAAGAAGAAAGGAGTCAACAGTAGTAAATGAGGGATATATAGTACGGGGGAGACAATTTACCAAAGGGGTGGGGCGAGGGAAGACCTCGTGATTGACGCAGGGGCTAACGTCCAGCTGACGACTTTGACGGGGACTTTTTATCCTTTACAGATGAGTTTATACCGTTATGTATCTATAGACAATACCTAATATTAGATAAACATAAGGCCATGTGATCTGGTGTGTGGTTGACCCGTCTTGTGACTTTACTATGCACTGACCCCTATCAGCTCCTTCACTACCCTTTCCCAGTAGATATCTTGCTCAGTCATCTTCTCCAAACGCGCCAAAAGGAGCATAGACTGGTTTAAATCTTTCACGAGATAAGTTCTCGTCCTGCGACTAGCTGAGCATGAGTAGCTGAATACGTAACACTACCATCACGTCAGCAGAACTTGTCAAGTACCTACATGAACTACAATCATGATTCGACAACCGAAGGATACCCGAGCAGTGTGTTTGCCGCATACATGTAGTTCACCTCTTTCACATCACATCTTCAAAATGAGCACTTGGTGCATACATCTTCGTTATATCTACAACCTGGTCAAGGTGTTCTGACTACGTATCCTCCTACCCCAAACTCAGAGACTCAACTCCACAGACCACCAGTTCTCACCCACCAACACAGAATCCAACATCTCACCCTCCTCGATGCCTCTATGGCCAAGAACAGCCTCTAGCAGAGGGAAAGTTCTCCTTGCAGGGCCACCATGAAAAATCGTGACGAAGAACCGAATCCGCTTGCCCAGCTTCTCCACCTCATCTCTCGCCCAAGCAATGTAGCGTAGTTCTCGAAGTTCTGAAACATCTCCAGTGTCGTAGTACTCGTACTGGATTTCGACTGCCCAGTACGTATACCTGTCCTTGGCCATTCTCTTGATGGCCCCGGCGAACTGGAAGCGACTTGGCCAGCGCAATCCATAATGGACTGTAGCCTCTCGACGCATATCTCGGTTTTGGCAAAGATTTGCCGATTCGCGTGTATATAGCTTGAGAGCTTTGAACAGCTCCCAACCTAACTGTCTGGTGGTCACTTTGGCCGAGCTTCTGCCTTCTCGCTTCCTTCTCTCGTTCTCGACTGGGTACTGTATGACGACCCGCATGAACGAGTTTAGTGTGCGTTTTGCAGTTCGGCTGAGTCGCTTTGTGACCTGGAGATCAACCTCTGCGGGAGTGAGTTCTGCGAATAGAGATTCGGCCTCTTGGCATATTGCTTTGCAGGCGAGCAAGAGGGTCGTAGAAGATTGGTGTTGCTCCAGATGTCCTTGTAGATTGATGGAACCGGGCGCGGAGGTGCTTTGTGCCGATCGGCGTGAAGAGTGTATGAAGCACATGTCAAGTGCGTAGTAGTAGATCCTGTTGCGGATTTCTCCGGGCAGCTGGAACAGCGGACTCTGTGTTTGAGCGTGCATGACTGAAGTGGTGTTATCGGAGAGTTTCGCCATCTTGATCGTCGATCTTGATGAGTGTCAGCTTGTGTGCGCGCATTACGAAGAGGCTGGTTTCTATAGTATGCATTTGAGTAAACCATAGCCTGATCGTAAGAGATTTGTTCTACGTTAGCACAGAATAAATTAGTAAAAATCGACTCCCACTGCGCTACAGAACAAGTTCTGGCGTTCGCTGTCACAAACCAAGATTTGAAACGCCTGACTGAAAAGTATCGCAAATGAAAGAACGCTCGATTCATTAACTTGTTAGGGAAATTAGTACTTACTGGTCTCGTAGCGGGTGTGACTGATCGAAAAAAATGAATACGCAGCACTGGAGATCAGAACAACAAGAGCGTTTGCGACTAGCGCGGTGTTACCAGATGGTTGCCTGGCAAACGGACGGGGACGCGTTGATGACGTCGACGAGACAACGTGGAAAATGAGCGATCAAACAAGGCTACTTGGTCTGAGAAGGAGACCTTGCAAAGAGCGGCGAGTATAATTTGGAGAAGGCGGCTGAGATATAACAGGATGACAATAACAGTGAAACTACGTACTTACATCGTGTCCTTCTGGCTACGGCTACCATTTTGATAACCAATCTCATCGAGCCCGTGGACTGAAGCATTGCCACGAGCATAAAAATCCTGGGTGAACCGCGATCTTGTGACCAGCTTTCGATCACCTGAAAAAGCAACGTTCTCCTGTCGCGGTGAAGGCAGAATACCAGAACATCGACCCTGCACCACATGTCTTCCCGTTCCTCTTTTACTTGCTGCTGCCTACCTTCTCTTTCCCTACCACAACCTCATCGCCGCGAACCTCTTTTGCAGGCACCAGGGAAAACATGACCGAAAGCATGGAAACTGACTGTTCCGATAGACACCGAGCTGCATCGCCAGCACTGACGGACATCTCGGAGCTGACCACACTATCAAGATCTCCAAGCCCGATCCCTGGGTACAACGCCTACGCTTCTCCCAAGAAATGCCAAGCCATTTCGAGCGCATCAGATGGGCAGGAGCAAGGTGGCTTCGGAGCCCTCGATAGGATCCCCATGGAGTTACGACAAGACATATACGGCCTCGCATTCGATATCGACGAGCCTGTCGTAGTCAAGGAGTGCTGCCACCCTGGAACAACCAAGCGGATGCTCGAGCTATGTCCCAAGCATGGCGCCAAGGCTAAATCTGGAGCAGGTCGTTTTAATATCCTCCAGATCTCCAAAGCAATCAGGACGGAGGCGATGTGGGTCGTCTTCGCCAAAACCACTCTCTTCCTCAATACAGAGGGCAGTATAAGCAAGTACTACACCACCGTCCCCCGCCCGCGTACTCTCCGCAAGGTGATCGGCTACAGGAAGCCCACTACATGCAAGAGCGCAATCTGGAAGACAGCCAACCAGTTTCGTATCATTAAGATCCATCTCTCTGAAGAACTCCTGGAATATGGCAATCCGTACGCCTTTATCGATCGTCTGGTATGCATCGTAACACTGCTGTGCAAGGAGCAAGACAAGGACCACGTCGCTTCGAAATCGGTACACCTGAACCTCGGCAGCTTCTTCCAGCAAATGCTCCCTTTCAACGAGAAGTCTCAGCTAGATAGGCGGTATGGAGAATATCTCGACTGGTTGTTCTTCCATTCCGACACCCACGAGCCAGACCACGACAAGCTCGCGAAAGGTATAGTACGCAGCCTGCGGCGACTGGTGGCTACGATAGGCAAGCATTCTGGCCGCGAGCAGTGGAAGATTCTCGTGGAGACTGAGATTGCGGAGGAGGACGAGGGCGGTGCGAAGGCGCTGTTCGATTTCCAAGTCGCTTGCGCGGAGCAAGGTGTTAAGGTCTGTGATTTGGAGAGCTAGATGCACGGCTTCAGATAGGGCGGACGATCATGGTCTGGCAGGGCGTCGGCGCGTTCGTACCGGGCACGGGAGGTCGTATCATGGCAGATCGATTACGGGTTTGCAAACGTCAGTATAGCATAAATGAACAAAAGCGTGGTTTCCAGCTGCACATTCGGCTCGCATGGTTGCGCCTGGGCAAAAAATCGCGAAGCAGGCTTTGATACGCGTGGTGTTGACGCGTATTTGGTGTGAGCATGCATTCGAGGAGTAATGACGCGACTGCCGGAGATGCACAACAGACGCTAGTTATGTCATCCATCCGCCATGGATTCACTATCAGGGGTAATGACACCCGCGCAACACCGTCCAAGTAGCATCTTCTGAGACACATAGAATTGTAGCTTCAGGAGTCTCAAGCATGTCTACTTTGAAAGACCACAGCCTGCCTATCCCAAAAGGCTAAGCCTCTCAAACATCTTCACGACAGGCGCCTCCCTCTTCTTTCCAACCTCCTGCAAGCTATCCCATAAAGTCGCATCCCCGCCCGTAGGCTTCATCGCCTCGCCCTCAACTCCAATCGGTGCCCCATTGATACCTTCCGAGCTCCCTGCAGCCACAGGTGGATACATCTCCTTGATAGCATCTTGACACCGTTCCATGACCTCGTTGACAGCGTTGGACACAGCATCAGCACGCTCTCTCATATCCCGTCTGACTAAACCCTCAACAAGACGTTGGATTTCTTCTTGCATGCTGTTGATGCGCTCTATGAGGCGTTCGATGGAGTTGGTAAGATACTCTTCTTCGTATACTGTACCCTTCTTACCGCGCGCACGCTTCCTCTCTTCTCTCCGCTTGTTCTTGCTTGTCTTGCGCGTAGTTGTTGTGTTCACGGTACCAGTCTGGTTTGTGTACCTGGTCATGAACGTGCCACCACTCGTTGTATCTGTGGGCGCCAGAGAAATATTGTCGGGAATGTTGGCATCGGCAGGACCGTCGATCATGCCTTCGTAGAATGCCAGCGGATCCTCTGCTTTCTTGGCCCTGAGTTCCTTGAGTCGAGGTACTTGTGCTTGCAGTTGACCCTTCATGTCGGCGAGGAACTCTGTCATGTCTGCGCTGCGCTCGACGAGGCCGGGGTCGATGACTTCGGTGATGAGGCTGGGCTCGCGTCGGAGTGTGACGATGCGAATTGCTTCGGCGAAATGGCAGCCTCGGCATAAGAGACGTGCCGCGGACGCAAGGTCGGAGAGGTAGTCGAGTGTTATTGATGAAGCTGACAGGTAGTCTTTGGATTCTGTGAGACCTTCTGCAAGATCTGTCGCAATGCTTGAGAGTTCATCCGCGCTTACGTCGGCGAGAATAGCAGACGACAAAGCCTCACGCCAGAGGTTGGCTGAACGGTAGCATGGCCAAGCGGAGGCATGATCGTTGAGGTATTCGTACGCCAATGCA